TGATATGCGTTGTTGCAGATCATAATACATTAGTTTATTATCAGTTTAATTTAAATAATTGTATCAAGTTCAAAGCTTTTGTGATAAATCACTCGCAAAACGCAAGATTCGTTGCTAACTATATATTCCAATAGTATCAATCTTTCAAATACTCACTTTTGCAGTATATTATTTGATAGTACGTAAATAATAATTTAATTCGCTCGCAATATAATATTTCATTTAATCGTCCAAATTTTCAATGAAGGGTGGAAAAAAAGAATCAAGATTTTAACCCAAAAGCTTTTTGAAATTTGTAAAAATGTTGTTTTATTAGTATTTGAACTTTGGTTTTTCCTGTTATTGTTAGTGTTATCTATGAAATTTGTAAAAAAAATTAATATATAACATTGTAATACGCTATACTTATACTTTTATTACAATTGTTAATATTTTAATATTACAATTGTCTCTCTAAATAATTGTAATTGAAGTTATGACAAAACTCGTGATTTAAAATAAAATATTATATCTCGTGAAATTTTCAATAAATTTTTTCTGAAAATTTTAACTGAAGTTGTACTATACATGTTATAAATTGTTCTGCAAATTTCAAGTCATTAAGCACATAGTTATTGGAAAAAAGAATTTTTATCTAAAATGAGTCTTACTAGCTTTATGATAAAGAGATAAATTTCAGTCAAATCGATATGAAACTTGGTACAAATATTACTTATTACAAATTATGATCCGAGGTTATTGTACAGATTATCGGTTTATTAGTGCCCTAGATATAGTAAATATTATAAATATATATTATATAGGATTCTTAAGTTCAAACAGTCATAAGTGTTGATTGAAATCGAATTTCTCATGGGACAAGACATGATTTCGAAGTTTACAATAGCAACTTTAACCTTATATGATCGATTTTTCAAAGAAAACCACAATTTTTAGAACCTTTTCTTCAGATTTATCAGGATAGCGGGCATTGGTGATTTCCGATTTATTGTGTAGTTTATGAGTATGCACTATGTCTGCGAGGCTCGATTTTATGCATGCTCGGAAAAAAGAACCTGCTAAATATCTCGCGTTGCATACGTTGTATCCAATTAGTATATCCTTGTTTCGCAAACGTCCATACGACGGTGAAATAATTTTCTCGTAAATTAGATCAACCGCGACAATATTCTTGCCTGCAAATTGATGAGCATCAGTATTGGGCCCGTGGACGGAAGCATGCGCCGCAACAGCGTCTCGACGTGGATTGGTTGCAAGCATGAACTCATGCGACGACGCGATTTTGAAGTGAAACTGCTATGGCATTGCTACCGCGTATTGAAGCTTGCATAGCAATAACGTCTTTTGCATTTTGACATGTATCAACGACAGCAGCATTACGACGTCGAGCGGGATCTTATGCCCATGAGCTGGAGCTTGCATAGCCACTTCATCGACCGTTCCTTGATACGGAACAATGCAGGAATAACCATGGCATTGCGATCACGGACATGGATAGCTACGGTATTGCGATCACGGACAGGAATGGTCACGGCACACATTATGCTCTACTAAAACAAGGACATTCAACCGGATTGAAAATCCAATCCGCTTTGAGTCTATTTCTGAATCCTACAAATGATAATTGAAATTCATTAAAGTAGAATGAATCTTAATTCACTTTAATGTTTTTTTATCCCAAAATTAATTTTACATATTATAATAATTAATTTCAGGATAGAAAAATATTAAAAGGGATTCAGATCGATTCCAGTTTGATAAATTTAAATTGTCATTTGTAGGATTCAGAAATACACTCGAAACGGATTGGATTTTCAGTCAGTTTGAATGTCCTTGTATTAGCAGGGTGGGCGTAGAAATAACGATATTATGATGTTACACAGGAATAACTACCACGTTGCGCCATTATCACAATCACCTAACCTCATTAACTACTACAGAAATGGAAAACTTGACTTTTCAAAATTGCCAGATTGTGTTTCAGCAACAAAATCTAAACCCTTTGATGCATTGTTTCTATCTACAATTATATTTGATGGTGTCAAATTTTATATGGAAATATTAATAAAAAATAAAGACAAAACTTTTATTCAAGTTTGTTTATTTTATATCGCATTTTATATTAATTTATCGATTATACTAGTGACCGTGCCGACTAAATTTTTTAAAATAATTTTTTTTTGTCATTCGTAACTAATCAACAACATTTAATTGCTAAGACATAAAAACTTTATACATGGAACATGGATGGATCATATTTGTTTTTAGAAACGTTGCGCCAAACTATGTATGAATCGCTTTTTCGCGGTTTATTTTGAATCCCTTTTCAACCTTAAGAAAAGAATTTACATACCCCCAATGATCCTTATCGATTGTGTCATAAGGCCTAGTATACTTAACTATACCGGGTGTTCCAGACCATCCGTACAGCCATTTTAAAATCGAAAATTCGTGTTTTTGTGAAAAATGTTTCAGATGAAAGTTGTTTACGACAAATGGGGTCATCAATCTGTATAATTAGTTTTGACCTTGAACATCGTTTTCAAGGTCATTTGAAGATCGAATTACTTTTTTTAAATGGGAACCCCTATTTTTGACATCGGATTCGAAATGGGCGGGAAATTTTACGTCCACAAATATATTTTTAAACCTTTTTTCATGGCCTTGAAAAGGTCGATTTAAGGTCAAATGCTTGAAAAACTGCCTAAAAACGTTTTTTTAATTTTTAAGATATCGAAAAATGACCTCTACAAAATTTGTTCAGAACAGAGTAGGCCACCCAATGCACCAAAAACCTTTGACCTTTAACCTCATTTTGAAGGTCATTTCAAGGTCGAAGTGATTTTTGTAATGGAAACCCCTCTTTTTGACCCCGGATATGTACATAGCGCGAAATCCGACGTTTGGATAAGGTATTATGTTGAGTTTCGATTGATCCACGACGTTTATCGCTAAGGTCATGTGAAATTTAGATCCAATATTATTCGCGAAACATTTACAAAATGTTTTTGACTTCCAAGATCATTTCAAGGTTGCAAAAAGTCGTACACAAATTTTAGTGATTAAACATTTATTTTCTTTTTATTGAATTATAATGACGTTACCTTTTTTGTCAACATGAATAAGAATAACAGAAAAGTAACCATAAATGAAAAATTTAAACGACAATGTTTAATCTGATCCCTAGGTAGATGTAGTGCTCAAAAATACCTCCATTCTGTTGGATACAGGCCCTTACTCTTGTAGGAAAGCAATAAAATGCTCGAAGAACTTCATCGTTGTCTAAGGATCGAATGGCTTCAGTGATACTATAGATCATATTATCTCTTGTAGTGGGCCGTTCGCGGTAAACTAAATCCTTTATTCTCCTCCACAAGTAATAATCGAGTACAGCAAGGTCAGGTGATCGGGATGGATACTCGTCAGGACCACCAATACCAATCCATCTATTCGGAAACATATTATTCAGTAATCTTCGAGCGGTCATCGAAGTATGCGCTGGGCATCCATCCTGTTGGAACCACATTCCAAGACGTTCTTGCAATGGAATATCTTCTAAATTTCCAGGAAGATTCCTTCTAATTAATTGTCTGTACCGTGGTCCCTTTAAATTCTGATCAAAGAATACGGGACCCACAATATGTCATTGGTAAATACCGTACCAAACATTCACTTTCCACACATGTTGATGATCAACTTGTCTTAACCAGTGAGGATTAGTTTGTGACCAATATCGAAAATTCCAAGTGTTCACCTCTGCATTACTTTTGAATGTACACTCATCAGAAAACAAAATGCTTCTGTGAAAGTTATGTGGTTGTTGTTCAATCCAATTACAAAAATCAAGTCTACGTTGCATGTCATTTACATCTAACTTTTGGTGAAGGATCATTCTGTAAGGGTGAAATTTATTCTCTTTTAAAATACGATAAATTGTCGTTTTACCAATCCCTGAATCAATTGATCGACGAGTTAAAGAATCATGAGGATTCACGTAATCTGGTGTTTTTTCATCTCTGATTCGACGTCTAATCTATCTCCCTTCATTGTGATGAGGTTGGATGATACCTTCGTTTCTTATTCGCCTAGATAACCGTGAAAAAACGTTTCTTGAGTGAGCCGTCCGATGAGGATATCGATCGTGCCACACTCTGGCAGCTTCAGAAAAGATACCTCCACATTCACCCAAAATTAGCATTATATCATGCGCTTCCTGATTCGAATACACCATGGCTTAAATGAAAATGAATTATACGTAAATAAATAACAAAATTCATAACTTTCGTAACTTCAAAAACTGCTTACTTGAAGATAAGTAAATATCATATTGTAGCGTGCTTTATCTTTTTCATCTGCTTGGTCGATTTAAATTTAAATCAGCTGGTAGCCAGGCGTCGCTTGACATAAACCTTTTGGTCGTCAAGTAATAAAGTGATTTAATTCACCTGGCGGCCAGTTGTCGTTCCGAGTTTTTCCGAGCTCCGAATTTTTTATGGCACGCGCAATAAAACTAATGATCGCGCGCGCTCTCTTATTCTATTGTCTTTGCAAGGAAAACTACGCCGCATCACCCTGCTTCCCCGTTGGTCCCCGGCTACCCTTTCCTCGGACCTCGTGGGTGGGACTTACCTTCCCCCCATGTCCGAGGGCAGCATCTTAGCTTGGGGGCGAACGATTGACGAGGACTCTCGCTCGAGCACTCGACTTGAAAATATCTCTGCCTTCTGCGAGATACTCGGTCACGGTCTTTATAAGCGAGTTTCGACTTAGTCGTATTTTTGTAGCTCTATGTATTCATTTTAGCTACTTTTCAAATAACTAATCAATTATTATCTCTACCCTTTAACCAACATATTTGTCATCATTTATTCACCCTGGCATTCGCGCCTCAAAATTGGTGACCCCGACGTGATCTGTCGTAGGTGAATTGTGACATTTAAGGCAACTGTGTTGTGTTTTCAAGTGTTTGTGAAAATCAAAGTTTTTTTTTCGCAATCAAGATGCCAGAACAAGTGAGTATTGCCAATAGTGGTGTACCTACGGCTCCTGCGCCCGCTGTGCATACTATCAGGCACTTCAAGGCGCCGCCGTTCTTGGAAGATAAAATCAAAGTGTGGTTCATGCTTCTTGAAGCGAACTTTAACACGGCACATATTACTAACGATGAAAGTAAATACTGCCACACGTTGTCATCATTGACGACGAAAGCCATCAATCAGGTGGAAGATGTTATAGTCGCTCCGCCGGAAGCGAACAAATACGAAAATCTCAAGGAGAAGATGATCGAGCGCTTCACGGAATCAGATAGTTCGCGAATGAAAAAGTTGATGGAAAACGAGCAGATGGGAGACCGAAAGCCGTCGGAATTCTTTCGTTGCTTGAAGTCATACGGCACTTCGAATACTACCGACGCCTTTATTATGAGTGTTTGGAAGACCCGCTTACCGCCCACTCTGCAGGCACACTTGACTGTGACGAGTGAGACCGAGACAGCCAAACTGCTGAAACTTGCTGACAGCGTGCACGAGGTAAATCACTCTCCAGCAAAACAGATAAATGCTGTCGAGCACCACGATGGACTGGCGATGCTATCAGAGCAAATCAAAAATTTGATCTTGCAAATTAGCACGCGTGACCAAGGACAAGGTCGCAGTCGCTCTCGCAATCGTGGAAACAAGAACAACCGCTCTCAGACTCCAGCGAATAACCGCGCTCAGCCAACGTCTGAATCGAACGGTCGACTTTACTACTACCACCACAACTTCAAGGAAAAGGCTACCAAGTGCCGTAGTGGTTGTTCGTGGTCGGGAAACAATGCGCGCAGTCAGTGAGTATGGCAAGCTCTGACGGATGCGCGAGCCGCCGTGTTTACATCAAAGACTGGAATTCGCACAGATCTTTTCTCATCGACACTGGTGCTGATGTGTGCGTGTTTCCGCGAAAGTTTTTTGCTAAGAAAGTGAAACTCAGTGAATATCAACTTTTTGCGGCAAACGGAACAAAAATCAATACTTACGGAAGTGTGCCTTTTAACTTAAATTTATCGCTACGTCGCGAGTTTAAGTGGCCGTTCATTATTGCTGATGTACCTTCCGCGATAATCGGTATGGATTTTTTGGAACATTTTGGATTATTGATCGATCCGAAAAATAAGACTTTGATCGATACTACAACCGGCTTATCTACGCGTGGATGTCTTGCTGGTAATAAGACAGCTTCTGTGAAAACAGTGCACGGTGAATCGGAATATCACAAACTTATTGCGAAATATCCCGATTTGACGCGACCGCCAACTTATCGCGAAGGCTCAATCAAGCACACTGTACAGCATCATATCAAGATTACGCCCGGCCCGCCGATTCACGCCAGGCCCCGCAGACTTGACGGCGAGCGAAGGAAAGCTGTTAAGGCAGAATTCGACTTATGGCTGCAGCAGGGAGTTATACGGCCTTCCAAGAGCCCTTGGTCTACGCCACTACACGTCGTCTCCAAGGCGGACGGAAGCCCGCGACCATGCGGTGATTATCGCGCGCTCAACGCGCGCACCATCCCCGACAGGTATACCCCACCGCACATTGAAGATTTCGCGCAAAATCTTTACGGTAAGAAGGTATTTGCGAAAATTGATTTAGTTCGCGCATTTAATCAGATACCCATCGCGCCCGATGATATCGAAAAAGCTGCGCTTACTACGCCGTTTGGACTATACGAGCCAACGATGATGATGTTCGGTTTGAGAAACGCAGCTCAAACTTGTCAGCGTTTTGTCGACGAAATTGTACGCGGATTAGATTTTGTATACCCGTATGTCGACGATTTTTTGATTGCTTCTGACGATGAAGAACAACATTTTGAACATTTGAAAATCTTATTAGATAGATTATCGAAATACGGCGTTGTTATTAACCTCGGGAAATGCGTTTTCGGTGTTAGCGAAATAACTTTTCTCGGTTATGTAGTCAACTCTCACGGCATCAAGCCGATGAAAGAACGCGTCGATGATATTTTGAAATTTTCTCTGCCAAGCACGATTAAAAGCTTGCGTCGTTATCTCGGCATGTTCAATTTTTATCGAAGGTTTGTACCGCACGCGGCAGAAATATTGCACCTTTTAAACGAACTTTTGAAAGGATCGAAAAAGGGCAAAGAACCCGTTATTTGGACTGAAGAAGCTCGCGTCGCTTTTGCCAATTCAAAGAGCGCTCTTGCGCAAGCAGCTTTGCTCGCTCATCCTGCGCCCGGTGCGCCTCTTAGCGTCGCCGTCGATGCTTTGGATTTTGCGATCGGTGGCGTTTTACAGCAACGCGTGAATAACGATTGGCAGCCGCTTGCTTTCTATACGAAATCATTAACAGAAACTGAACGTAAATATAGTGCGTACGATCGTGAACTTTACGCGATATACAGTTCTATTAAACGATTTCGGCATATGATTGAGGGTAGAAATTTTATTGTTTTTACTGACCATAAACCGCTAACTTTTGCTTTCAGTCAAAATTTAGATAAATGTACCCCGCGTCAATTTAGACATCTCGATTTCATATCTCAATTTACTACTGATATCAAACATATCAGTGGCTCTGACAATGTCGTGGCCGATGCGATGTCGCGCATAGAAGCAATCGCGCAATCTATCGATCACGATTCACTCGCTGCTGCTCAAAAAGCCGATCTTGAACTACGCGAGTTGCTCATTGACGGAAAGTCCGCGCTTAAACTTAAAAAAGTACACCTTCCAAAACAAAATGTACATTTATACTGCGATGTTGCGACCGACGCCGTGCGGCCTTTCGTGCCTGCATCTTTGCGCCGAGCTGTATTTAACTCGTTACACAATCTATCACATCCCGGTATGCGTGCTACTCAACAACTCGTTACTTCGCGTTTCATTTGGCCTTCTATAAATAAGGATTGTAAAGAATGGACGCGCGCATGTATTTCGTGTCAGCGATGTAAAGTCACTCGGCACGTTTCTGCACCAATTCAGCAAGTAGAGAAATTAGCTAAACGATTTGAGCACATACACATTGATATAATTACAATGAGCCATTGCCGTGGTTTTAGGTATTGTCTCGCGTGTATCGATCGCTTTACTCGCTGGCCCGAAGTAATTCTTATAGCAGATATGGAAGCTTCGACTGTTGCAGCCGCGCTGCTTTCGGTTTGGATCTCTCGTTTTGGCGTTCCCGGGCGAATTACAACCGATCAAGGGCGTCAATTCGAATCCGCGCTTTTTGCAGAATTATGTAAATTGTTAGGTACGAAACGCATTCGTACAACAAGCTACCATCCGCAAAGCAATGGTCTAGTCGAAAGATTACACAGGCAACTCAAAGCCGCAATTAAATGTCATGATGGCAGCGATTGGGTTTCTGCTTTGCCTATTGTTCTACTCGGCTTGCGCTCCGCCATAAAAGAAGACCTCGGTGCTACGGCAGCCGAACTTGTTTATGGCTCTGGCCTACGCTTGCCTGCGGAATTTTTCGTTGCTGACCATACCCAAAATCCCACTTCGGATTTTGTTGAGAACTTGAAAAAACACGTTAATAATGTGAAACCGTCATTTGTGCGCCGACACGGTGAAAAGAAAGTTTTTATTTTTAAAGAATTATTCACTTCACCTTATGTTTTTCTGCGTCATGATGCCGTCCGCGGCCCGTCAGACCCAACGTACGATGGTCCATATAAAGTAATTGAGCGTAATGATAAGTCATTTATAATTGAAATCAATGGCAAAAAGGCACGCCATTCTATCGATAGACTTAAGCCCGCTTTCATGTTATCGGACGACGTTGAAGAACTCGCAGAAAATATACAACAGCGCAATGATGACGATAATTTTAACATTGTAATCGAAAATAATCGCGGAAATGTCACGCCGCCGATTCTAAACGCTCCTGTACCTGCTAATGTACCGCAGCCAGGACCTTCGAATACGAATGTAAACTGCGATAACAATGTTAGTATAAGACGCTCCGGCCGATCTGTACGATTTCCAGATCGTTTTAAAGTTGGTTTCCAATAAATAATGTATCATTCTAATGTATGTTTATATTTGAAGTTTTACGAATTTACCTATTCATGTATACTTATTCTCTCTTCGTTTTATATTTTTATATGTAGCGTTGTCACTGGTAAGGGGGTGATGTAGCGTGCTTTATCTTTTTCATCTGCTTGGTCGAAACCTTTCGTTTGCCAAGCAGTGAAACGATTTAAATCAGCTGGTAGCCAGGCGTCGCTTGACATGAACCTTTTGGTCGTCAAGTAATAAAGTGATTTAATTCACCTGGCGGCCAGTTGTCGTTCCGAATTTTTCCGAGCTCCGAATTTTTTATGGCACGCGCAATAAAACTAATGATCGCGCGCGTTCTCTTATTCTATTGTCTTTGCAAGGAAAACTACGCCGCATCACCCTGCTTCCCCGTTGGTCCCCGGCTACCCTTTCCTCGGACCTCGTGGGTGGGACTTACCTTCCCCCCATGTCCGAGGGCAGCATCTTCGCTTGGGGGCGAACGATTGACGAGGACTCTCGCTCGAGCACTCGACTTGAAAATATCTCTGCCTTCTGCGAGATACTCGGTCACGGTCTTTATAAGCGAGTTTCGACTTAGTCGTATTTTTGTAGCTCTATGTATTCATTTTCATATTTGTCATCATTTATTCACCCTGGCATTCGCGCCTCAATATCATGTCACTTGTAATTCCATTTTTTTCACAAAACTTCAAAAGTTTAAGATGCACTAATTTGCATTCTCCCTAATCAATTTTTTCTTATTATCGTCGAATCAATAATAAGAAACATTGTTTCTTATTTCAGGAACAAACAATCTCGAAAAATCAGAATTATTTTTTATTCAAAAAAATTGTGTGGCAAAATTTCGAATTTCAAACTTAAAAATTTTCAACTATTTCATTTCAATTATTTTAACCAAAACGTTCACAAATACGTGGAGAAGTTTTTCTAAAAAGAAATGATTCGATATCTTTTATTTGTAAATAGATACAATGACTTACAAATACCTTAAAGAATTTTCTCCTAAATTTTTATTGAGAAATATCGAAGAAATAAGATTTGTCGACGATACGTAGGTACAGCGAGTTGAAAAACTTTATGTTCACGTTATTCTCGAAAAATTTTGTTTTTCGTACATAATTCAAAAACTACAAACGATATGAATTAGCTTCAATGCAAGAAATATGAACAATAAAATAATATAATGAAATAATAATAATTTTTTATTCGTTTGCTTTATTTAAGAAACATTCAAAACGCAGTGAGTGGAAAAAACTTATCCGGCAAAAAAATTGTACCTATGTCTCTGCTTGCTCCTCATTTAAAACAACTTGACTTTCAGTTTGGATAACCCGTTACTTTATTATTCAAACAATCAAAGGTGACCTTGAAATAACCTTAAAATGATCTTGAAGGTCAAAGATAAGGTCACTGTAACATGCTCCCAGTAGAATTTAATAAATTTAGCCCGAAACATTTTGTAAATGTTTCGCAAATACTATTGGATTTAAATTTCACATGATCTTAGCGATGAACGTCGTGGATCAATCGAAACTCAACATAATACCTTATGCAAACGTCGGATTTCGCGCTATGTGCGAATCCGGGGTCAAAAAGAGGGATTTCCATTACAAAAAACACTTCGACCTTGAAATGACCTTCAAAATGAGGTTAAAGGTCAAAGGTTTTTGGTGCATTGGGTGGCCCACTCTGTTTTGAACAAATTTTGTAGAGGTCATTTTTCGATATCTTAAAAATTAAAAAAACGCTTTTAGGTAGTTTTTCAAGTATTTGACCTTAAATCGACCTTCTCAAGGC